CCCCAAAACCCCAAAACCCCAAAACCCCAAAACCCCTATTTTAAAGTTTAAAATAGAAAATTATTAATACAAAATCATACTAAAAATGGGAGGAAAAGGATCAAATAATAACGATAATAAATCAGCTTTTGAGAACATTAGGAGAGCAAATAGCGGTATCATCCCAGCTGCAGCAAGACCAAATGATGGAGATGATAATCAATACCCATTCCAGAATTATTTACAAAATAGTGATGGAGAAGACACCACTAGCCAAGTTGCTGTCTTAAAGATGCATTCAGCTATTAGGAAGGATACTATCAAGCTTGTAAAAGATGGAGAAGGGAAGTATTACTTCTCATTCCAGTTTGATTCAACATATAACTGTACTATTACTATTTTTGTGTGATGACAGGAACTTAAGAATGCAAATAATATTCCTTTACATTTTGTTACTGCTCCAGATTTGCCTTGTCCCAATCAGTATAAATTTTCAGCTGGAATCGGGCAGGATTTCCCACCAAAGGTAAATATCTTAAATCCTACTGCTTATAAAGAGCTTGACTTAACTGAAGCAAAGGATGATTACTTCCCTGTTGTATTAATGATTGAGACTGATTACCCTGAAGATTATAAAGGCAAGGCTAAATAAGAGTTGCCAGATAATCTATGGCTCTTTCATCCTTGAAGGATCAGACTACTCCTTTCATTGCCTTAAAGCCAAGTTCTTGTTCAATAATAGAATGTTTGACCTAGGTGAGATCTTTGGGATTGAGGGTGGAACTGCCAACCTGATAAATGATACTAACAAATTATGAGTAATTTGCTTTACCAATGACAAGGATACAGTCGTACTTCCTTGAAGACACATGTGATTGTGCATGGAATGCTCCCAAATAGTAAGGAGACAGTCTAACAACTGCCCTATTTGTAGGACAAAGGTTTCAACCTTTATTCAAATCAAGGATGAAAATGCACCAAACCCAGAAAGCAATGAACCAAAGTCATTAATGAGGAAAGCTACTGTAAAAGTGGTTGATAATAAAAAGAATGATGAAAGTGAAGAAGAAGAGGAGAGTGAAGAGGAAGTCGAAGAGAGCAAAAATGCTCATAGAGTTGATGAGCCAGACCTTGAAGCTTAGCATTATTTTTTATCTCTTGTGCCAATACTTGGTTAACAGGAAGGGGTTTTGGGGTTTTGGGGTTTTGGGGTTTTGGGG